CACTGTGTATCACTCATTTGTATATTTGTATATAGTATTATTTTCAATATTATTGTAGTTTAGTTATTAAATTGTCCTTATCTCAACCCACGAGTCCTTTTTTCCCTTTACCCCAAAAACTGGGATACACATTTAGCAAAAGCCACCTGGCTAGTCAACACTAGAGGATCTGCCAATCGGGCTGGTCCTGCCCAGTCAGAACCTTTACGTACTACCCCTTAAACTCTCTCCCCTATCCTCGGATGGGGGTGAGAATTGTGTGAGTGGGTGCGTGCGTGTGGTTTGGCCCCCAGACAAGGGCTAACCCATCACACTCCCAAAAAGCTGTTGAGGTAGATGTAGATGAAACTTCAGGAAAAGACAGGTCTGCCACCATGCCTTTAGCTTATCACCCAAGAGGTGACTGTCTCCAGATACTCCTCGTTCTTTGCATTAGCAGATTATTTGGTAGCTTCCAGCATAAATCATTTGTGTAACTCATCACAGAGCCAGAACTGCATGTAATAGCTAGGATGTTTTCATAAGGTGTTGTTTTTTTTTTTAAAATAAATACTTTGAGAAAATGAAGTCAGGGAACATCTACACAAGCAGATCCTTAAGTACCTGTGCCTGCAAAAGGAGGCAAAGCTGAGGGAGCTGCTAAGCAGCTGGGATGGACAGCCTCTAACCCTCCTCACCGGCAGTCATTCCATCACTTCTAGCTGGAAACCAAACAGGATGCCTGGCTGCACCGCGAGCCTGCAGAGCACCTTGACATACCACTGAGGGAGACGTGAAAACAAAGCTTGAGGAAAAGAGCCAGCTTACTTGGCAAGTGCTTGGTTGGAAAGCAGCTGCTTCAGATGCTGAGACAAAAGCTTCTTCTCCAGAGAAAGCCTTATCCAGGCTCGGGCTCGTCCCACATCAGTCTTTATCTCACTCATGTTCTGAACATGCCTGAAATGGGTGGTGAAAAAAAAATAATAATAGATGAATCATAAAAATCTGACATGCTTCAAATAGCAACATCCAGTGTGATGCAGCAGCTGAATCGGAAAATGTCTCCTGACATAATTTCTAGAGAAAGAGACCCCCCGCAGGGCCCTGCACTCTGCCACTGAGACCCCTGGCAGCTGGCCGACAACATGGGGCAGCCGCCCTTCCCATGCATGGCAGGTTTCAACCCAGGTGCACTACAGCCCGTATCAGATGCTCTGTGTCATGGCATCTGCTTGGCCAAGGTGACCAGGGGTAGATTTGCTCATTCCCGCATTGCCTGAGGTAGATGTCCTCATCGACACTGCTAACACTTAAAAAAAGCAGCCACCTTGTGAGACCCAGTTACATCACAGTCACTTCCTCAAGCTGCTGACACTAACAGGTATGTCTGGGAGGGCAGAGGACAATACACATCGTAAGAGTTTCTCCAAACTACATGCTACTCTGGAGGCCCTAAACAAACACCTTAATGGCAGCAGCAATGGGAAATCTGAGAAAAAGAAGATTGTTGGGGCAAAACCAGCAACAGTCACAAGCAGAATCACGTTTTCAAGGATATAAGAGGCCCTCGTGTTAGAAATGATCTGAACAGCCCTCCACATGCTTGGTCTGTAGGAAAGCGGAACTGTTCCACAGGGGCTTTTTTCCTATGGTTTTGCTTTTGTTTTTTCAAACTTCCCATATTTCAGTTTGGAAAATGCCAGAAACCCCTAGTTTTAGAGCACAGGGAGGTTTAGAAGAGGAAGTGAACTCTCATGGCAGGGCAAAGCTCCTTTCAAAAACCCCCCACTTGGTTAAATAAACATCAAGAAAAATGAGTAACAGTTTCCAGCAGGGGAAATAAAAGGGTGCAATTTCCTAATTTGCACACAGTTTGCATGTTAAGTGCACAGGCAATTCAGGCTTCCAAACCTCTGTGGTAGGCTCAAAGTATTATCAGCTGACTCTGAACTGATCCCTGTTGCCATTTACAGCTCCTACATCTTCCTTGAAGGCCCTCCACACATTGCTGAGCTTTAGGGAATGCCGCAATATTTACTCCAAAGAAAATCCAACAAAGTCATGCTGTGACTGATGCTTTTTACATTGACTACTACAGTCTCACTGTCTCGTGCTTTCCCCCATCTGTTATATCCCAGCGCATGCTTTGCGTTATATTTAGACTCTGCATTATCTGAGAAAAATACTTTCTTTTTTATAGAGCTTCTAACATAACAGGATGAGAGCCTTAAGGGCAAATTTGCAGAGTACAAATTCGTGCTGTCCAGAAATAGGTGTTCGTTCAGTAACGATGAGGTGGACACCAGACAGCTCAGCAGCACTCACTGTTCTTTGCCAGGAAAACCTACTGGAAATCTCAAAATACACCTCTACCTTTGCAATCTAAGCTGAGCTGTCTGTATCACATGGCTGTGTGCTGTATGTATGCATCTCAAGCACCATCAGCTTGCCAGTGGCAAAACCTGGGTTACTTAAAATGCCTTTTAACCAAAAAAAAAAAAAAAAAAAAAAAAGGAAAAAAGGAAAAAAAGAAAAAAAGAAAAAAAAAAGAAAAAAAATATATTTAGAGACATACAAGTCCCTGCCCTTTACAAGCAAGCTCAGCAGCCTCCCTCTGTCAGCAGTGATGCCTATCAGCTGAATCACTGCCGAAAGCCTTGCTCCTGGCACTGGAAAGCCCTTCTTGGCTCAGAGTGTGGCAGCCAGCGTTAGACCTTCTAGCCCAGACAGCTGGGCACGTGACCTGGAGTCCTTGAGAAAAAGGATGCCTGCCACACTCAACTACATAGTGTTGAGACACTCTTCTCAGACATTTCAAGTCTTTTGAGATGGGAAGATCAAAGCACAGACTATCATCTCCCTCCCTCCCCTTCTCCCCCAGTGCTTGGCTTGAATTACGTCTAATATGAAACACTGAGTAGAATATGTTATTTCACTGTGAGAAGATTCAAGTACAGATGGACTCAATCTTATTCCATCCACGCTCTGTACCTCTTCATTACCTGTTTCTGGTTCAGACCAGATTGGCATTAATTGTGCATTTGGGAAAAAATAAGGATCTGCAACCACGCAGCTTGCCAGAAGCATTAAAAAGATTCAGTAATCAGTTTTGGTGTCAGCAAAAGCAGAGTGTCACAGAATAGAGCATTCAGGAACTCAAATTTATTTCACTCTCAGTTGTGAGAGTCTGAACAGCTCTATTTTTATTGGTGACCTAAGTGTAAGCACTGTATGCTCACCACCACACAGCAAACTCTTCTTGTCAGAGCACTGACCAGCAATTTCAATGCAACTCCCTAGGCTGGGACTTGCCTTTAATCCCATTAGTAATAAAGAAAAATCTATTTTCCCAGTCAAATGTAAGCCTGGGGTATGGTGGGACATACCCTCTGCAAATAGCTGTGCTGACAGAAGAGGTTACAGCTGCTCAGCATCGCCATGCCCCCGAGGATGGTGTGCATGCTCCCCAGTCCCAGCACAGACAGAAGTGAGCCATACTGGCTCGTACCATGTAGGTAGGAGGTCTTTGACAAGCCAGCTTCTTTTGACTGCAGCAGGTTAACCATCACCACTGTGGGCCCAGCACCTGGGGCTTGCATCCTCCACTGCAAGCTTCTCTCAGGAGGGGAGGCATGACGCAGGCATGAAAGCAAGTGCTGGTAGCAAGGAAGGGCTTGCCTGAAGGGAAAGGACATGAAACTTGAGGCCAGATGGACCAAAGGTTTCAGGGAGTTGCCTTGGTGCTGACTGGTCCAGCTGGAAGCACAGCAATGTGCCTGAGGGGTGAGGCCCCACAGGAGGCAGGCTGCATCAGGAGTCTGCTGGGGAGCTGGAAGAGGACTGGGAGAGATGCTGCATATCCTTGCCTGAGGAAAAGGCTGAAGGGTGTACCTCCAAACACACTTACGCAGAGACTCTCCACCCAGAGAACCAAAATAAACAGCATCTTCCTTACCACATCTAAGATGACTGGCTTTATGAGGGAGGCAGAGGATGTACAATGTTACCTGTAGCACAAGCTCATTGCATATTCAGAGCCTGACTGTGATTCAACCCTGCTTTTGAGTTGTTTACATAACCTTGCATGAGCCATCAAAACCAAGCTGTGCTTAAGGCAATGCTTAATCCTCTAGCCATTAGTTCAGTTAGCACCGCAGCCCTGGCAATTTAACAATTACCCATCCTAACTTCACCATAAATTTGTGTGCGCAAGTAAATATCAAGCAACATTTCTTCCAAACAGGAGAAAGTATGCCATGTGATTATGGATGACAAACTCAACTCATCATCTGCCTAGCATTTTCTATGACCAGACATGTTTGTAGACAATCATGAATAGCCAAGTTATTACAAAAGGTAGTGTTCTGCTTCTTTACTTTTCCTCTGAAAAGCAGTGGAAACACTCGTGATTCAAGCCAGAGAGCTCAGATCTGTGCTGGGCTTCCACTACTCAAATGGAAGATCATGGAAGACGAAACCCATGCATACAGCAGCGAGTGGACACAGCCTCCTCTGTTGGCAATCCCCCCCCGCCCCCAGCATGTGAGTTTCCGCTCCAGATCCTCCATCCTTTCCTCAGACCGATCTCCTACATGCCCATGAGCCTCACAGGACTGAATTAAATAAATAGCTGCTATGTCCCATGAGAGGGATGCTAAAATGACAGGCACATGTTCAAAATGACCTGTTGGCATTATACACCTAATTACACTGTATATATTCTCCCTCCTGCTTTCACATCGTTTTAACCCTTCATGACATGTCATATTTTTCAAAATCAGAGCACAAGACTCAAACTGCACTGCATCAAACAAAAAGCTTGCACACTGCAGATGGGAAGTACTGTAATTTTCTTTCAGAAAAGTCTGACTAATCTGTGCAATCTCACATCAGGAAAAAAAAATCTGTAATAACACACACAGTGAAAAATCACATCACCGTAATAATGTTTTTGCAAACTAACTACAATTAATCTCATTTTTACCATAAGATTTTTTGCCATATTTTTACGTGAAGGAAGGGCATGGTATTACAAGAAACAACACTCATGTTGCCTCACACTAAATAGCTAGCAATTGCTATCAGCTCTTTACAGATGAGCATTGTTACATTACTCCTCCCCTCTTTTCACGGTACTGTTACCCCACTGCAATCCTTAGCCATGGCAAGTGAAGTGTCAAAACAGTGGCCTGACCTGGCAGTGACTTGATCAAGGAGATGCCCTGAAGAACTTCTGCCTGGTGCTGTCACATCAGCCTCCACTCTCTAATCCTTCCATTTCCCAACCAACACTGCTTAAAAAGCTCTCTGGATCCAGGCTGTGGTCTCCTACAGAGAACCTGCCCTTCACATTCCAGTTTTAAACTCATTCAAAGACTAGGTTTGATTACACTTCTAAATTTGCACATTTATTACTATTTGCCATAAAATGCTAATTGAAAAGAAAGAATATTACTCAGACATTGCAAGCAGTTTTGGATTTTTTTTGTCTCTTTGTTTTGTCTATCAACTGTACTTGCTTGGTCAGTAAATTAAAAGAAATAAAAAGAAACAAACTCAAAGTACCAAGGAATTCAAAAAATCTGCTGTTACTTGTAGAAGTTGGCTTTATTGCTAGAAGAACCCTCCTGGGAAAACAAAAACTCCAGTAAAACTTATGTGTTTTTCATTGTCTTTTAGCTAAAATAAATCAAGTAAGCATGCAAAAAAATTTTACAAAAAGGTAACACTTCATAGATTTGAACACGGGCTAAGGAGAATGTTTGACTCTCCTTAGCCTACGTTAACTCAAAGCCAGTGAGGATCTTTACCTTATGCTACACAATTAAACCCACAACTAATGCTTTAGGAAACAAATTGTGTACCTCATATCTTGTATCAGAGAAACCCTCAAAGTAGGCAGAGTAATTCCTGTATCTGACTTTCGTCTTTCTGTTCCAACAGCAACTACAGTGGAGAAAAATGTTAAGTTAATACAAAATTACAGTAATGGTCTGCAATGCATTTGTTTTACATACAGCTGAAAACAATCTTAAGTATCTGGTAACTGCAATGTTTCTGTTCATTATCATTAACTCTACCCTGGAAATGTAGAAACAGACAAAATTAAAATAATATATTAATATATTACCTATTCCTTCCTTAATCCAGCACTGAACTCAAAGATATAGCTTCCTTTTTCATATGTGAAATACATTAACATGTATGATGATGAGTTTTATTAGTAATATGTTTCTATGGAAAGCTCACAACTGAGAAGGACATGATAAAATTAAGCTACAGTAGCATATTCGATGCTAAGAATGCCATGCATTTCTGTGCTCTGCTACTCTGATCAAACTGCTTTGTGGTGATACATTTTGCTCTCAGGAATTTGTGCCTGCCAGCCAGATTGCTCATTGCATTACTCATTGAAGCTCATTAAAAAGTCTTTTCATGAGCAAGACTAGTTTGTCCATAGATGTGTCTTTGAGGACTGATCATACAAGTTCCCATCTGCAGGATTTGGAAGATTGCAGAGTCTTTGGAAGATGACCCACTAAACTTCAGAGACTTTTAGTACCATACCCAGCAGCAGCCTGTGCGCACAGAGATCTCAAGGTCATCAGAAAACCAACCTCTCTCACAACACAGAAGTAATTCAGTGATTGCAAAGGGCCAAACCAAAGCACAAACTGAGCACCTAGACTGACGGATAGAGATTAATTACACAACTTCTGAATTGTACGGTCCATCAGTATAAATATTTATTCACATTGGGATTTGAGAGGCACAATTATGCCCACTGGAAGAAAAATGCCAACTGTCTTAGCCACAGCTCCACACCTTCAGCTACTTCAGAAATCATCTCTTGCGGGAGAAGTGCTTTTCACACTTCACTCCATGCTGATTAAAAGGGAATGAAGGTATCAAACAGAAATTGAGTGATTTTCTAGATGGGGATAATAAGTATGTTCATTTCCCTTCAATGATGTCAATCTATTTTGCCCAGACATCAAAGCATATTCATGATGATTATGAAAGGTCTCAAAATGTAAATGTGATGTTAGCAAACAAATACACTGAAAATCCCGCATGGGTTTTGTGTGGTTACACTGTTCCTCCCAGGCCTGAGCTCATTTGCTGTGATGGACCCTCCATGGAGTCAACTGCTGAGAACTCACCTGGGGACTCTGCACTATGCTCTTGCTTCTCTTCTCTCTCCTGGTACTGAAGTAAATGGGACCACAAAGCAGATTTCCCCTGAAAATTGAATATGTAGTATGCAGCTTTAAATAAATGAGTCAAAACAAAAGAGTCCAGTGAACATGTCAAAAAAATGGGATGGCATTCCAGTGTGCCAAAAGTTCAGTGGTGAGAGTCAATCCTTCTCTCTTGGGCCATGATCTCAGGAAGAGGAGAGGACCATCTCACTGACCTAGCAGTCACACTGCCCACCTTGTTTCTTCGTCCTCTCCCTGTGCTTCCCTTTTGAAGGTTGAAAGTGAAGCAACCAAACATCTGTTGGACAACATCATTGCAATTTCCAGAGATACTGCTCAAAAAAATCCCAAGAAACAAACAAAACCCACAAAAAAACCCCAAGACTCCACAAGATATGAACCAGGGACTCTGATGCCAAAGATACCTCCCACTTAACATTCTAAAGACACCACTGAGTAGCCACTTAAAAAGTAGAGAAGGCATTCAGTATTTTCTAGACTACTGGATGCACAAAGTCCTTAGTTTCCAGTTACCAACCTGTTTGACCTGCAGACCATGGCTCCAGATTCTTTCTAGCAGGTCACAGAGACTAGCAATCAACGTATTTTCCTCCAGACCTGTTATGTTGGCTTCTCCATGTCCCAGCTCAACTGCTTCATGGCCCATCTTCTCTACCAACATGCGTTTAGTCTTAAAAAAAAAAATCCCCAAGGGTTTCTAAGAATGTTATTCGACAAGGGACAGAATTTATAGCAGAGTTTACTTAAACATACGTAATCTAGAGACCATCGCTAATGGCCTGACCAAAGAAACTTCAAATCTCTTTACAGAGATTGTAAATTAAAAAGAATAATTTTAAAAAGTTTGCATGACTACTCCATACTGTCCTATTTCTATAACCTTTATCTATTGTCCTATTCCTACACCATTGATCTATTACTGATCAGTACTGAAACAAAAAAGTACAGAGCTAGATAAATTTTTGGTCTTACTCAGTATCTGTTTTTCTTCTTGTTACAGCTATTAAAATTTAAAACTCAGGTAATACAGTATACCACCAACTGCAACAGACACAAATAAAATATATTTCCATGGCTATAAAAGCTTCTTTAATATTAGAAACTGCTATACTTCATTTGCTCTGTGTAAACAACATGCACAACAGTCGCACATGCTGAATGCTTCCTTTTTTGACCATGGGTCTTCAGCCCATTCTGTTTAGGCTACATTTACATCTGAACAATTAAAGGAAATCTTCCCTAAGATGTCTGATCATGCTGATTCTCCTTCCTGTCCTTTTTACTTGTTTCACCAACTTCGACTGCATAAACAGAAGAGTGATAATACATTCCTTTCTCTCCTAGCAGTTGAAAAATACAACACTTAAAGGGACATCCACCCTGCAATAGCCTGGTATGCCAACAGACCAGTGCTGTTCCAGCTGTGAAGGACTTTGAGAACACCATCTACAATGCTATTTAGGCTCAGTGTAAGCAAGAGCAGAGCAGGCAGCGGGAATGGGAGAGGACCTACCTTCATGCGACATTCCTTCAGTAACCCTTCCACAAATTTGCAGTTGGTCTGCGCAATCACAGCTGGAGAGAGATCTGAGAGTTTGGGCTGCCTTAGATTTTTTCCTAAACTCCTCGCCTCCTGCATGTATTTCTAAAAATAAACAGAATAATTTTAGATATTACAAGTCAGAGGGATTCTCCTTATCCTAATCCTAGGCAAGCAAACGCTGGTGAAAAGGAATGATTTAGTGTTAATCTAGGAATAACATCATGACTTGTCTGATGCTCAGTCTGGAGAAGTGGAATGCTTCATTTTGACAAGAGAAAAAAGCAAGATATTTTCCTGTGTGTAACTGAAACAGTCAATGTTAGCTAGTGAACTGTGCTGTTAGCCACTAGCACAAAGTTAGCCACAGCAAGTGAAGAAAAATGCGATACCTTCATTCAGCGATAAAGTAAAAATATCAAGTAAAGCTTCCTTCCATTGTTACTTGATTCTCAGTTTTAAAATACAAAAATATTAAAAGCCATTTGTCTAATTTGTGACCAGACTATACATGAATTGAAAAAAATCGTTTGAAAATAAAATGCAAGAAGCAGAAATACATTCAGTGAAGGAGAAAGATTTCATCCATTACTTTTCAACTGGACAGTTATGTGGGAAAAATCAGACATGATTTTGTTCTCAATTAACTTCTTAATTACAAATGAAGGTTGTTTTAAACAAAACTGACATTTAGGATCATTCATGTTTTTACTGTGGGGTGGTAATCGAGAAGCATGGGCAAAAACTGGCGTGCTTTTTAAAAAAAGGATCCAAGCTAGAGTAAAAGATTTTTAAACCTTTCTGCTGCATCGCCTTATTGTTCAGGGCTTTTTTAATTGTTTGGTTTTTTGTTAAGCAAAAAACCCCAAACCAATCAACAGTCTCATCTGCCCCAACACCAGTGAGAAGGCTACATGCTGAGCAAAGCTAGGAAGTTGGCCACATTTAGGTGTGCCAACAAGAAGCCTATAGAAAAGTTTCCCAGGCATTATTCATAAAGTTTTTGTTAAAAAGAGTAAAACAATAGAATGTTGCCAAATAAAAGTCTTGAAGCACAGCGCTCATAGCCTGGTGTGGGAATGCTCCATTCCTATAGTATGTTTTTATCCAGTTAATGCTGCCTCTTTGGCGGACAGTATGTGACAACAACTGCTCTTCCCCTGAGATGGGCAGATCACACTCCTTCAGTGACTTAGCACTGCTGCTGGCTGGGTTTTCTGGAGAACTGAGAGGACACTGTGGCTGCTGTATTCTCAGAGCTTTCTATCTGGGGAGAAAATAATTTATTTAGCAAAATCAAAATCCAAACACACTTAATTGAAATTGCTCACTCTCTTTTTTTTTTTTTTTTCTGGTAATGGGAAGGTATAGTTTTTCCTGACACATTTGAATTTTTTCAATACAAAATTCAGACATGAACCACTTAACATCAGTCCCACAGGTCAGACAAGAACATCAGGTTCTGCCATGGAAAGCTGTGTTCAACAAAAGTGCTCAGCTAGGTAATTACAGTTTCACTGATACTGTAAGGACTTAAAAATAGTTGAAAAACTTAATGTGAAGTTAAAAAAAAAAATCACAGATGATGAAAGTGTGTTGTTCAGCAAGCAATCTCACGAGTGACTTCCATCTAACTCAGTGCAAAAATTAGCAACTGAAACAGTGAAAAAGTAATACAGGGAATATATAATTAGGAAATCTAATATATATTTTTAAATGTAAAGGGATAAATAAAATGCAAAATGTGGTTATAGATGGAAGAGTACAAAACATAGATAAACTTACTTTATTAATTTTATGTCTTGTTATTATATTAAAATAGAAAACTAACAACTCTTGTAAGTTCGAGAGAAGAATAAGGGTGGGATAGAAGATCCAATTGATGGCCCTTTGCCTGTTCATCAGCATCCACACATCACCACCCTCTTCCACACTAGGATGTGATGATCCAGCAGTCAGAAAGCAATGTTTTTTGTATTTGACACCCTGAGCTGAATTACCAGACAAGCAACACAGGAAAAAACAAAGCAAAATAAGTTTATCATCTTTCAGCTTTGGAGCCGTCACTTTTGCCAGGGAGCTGGCATGGAAACCTAGAGCTGATTTCCAGCTACTTTTCCGATTATAACCACACTTCCAAGCGCTACAGGGACATGCTCATACTCTACGAGAAAGGGAGAGGTTTGAAACTCAGCAAAGACAGTGACTCCTCACACTAACATCTCAAAAGCAGCTTTCAACAAGAAAAACTAAAACATACCAGGCAGCATTCAGAGAAGGATTTTTTAGGAGGCCGTGCAGGAGGGGGTGGTCCCTGATCCCACTCCCAGAAGGCCATTGAGTTCTGACGAAGCAAAAGCTCCTCCGATGGCTAAGAGGAGGCAGATGCCCCAATGGCAGAATAGCCAGAAAGAAAGAGGAGACAAAGCAAAAGAAGCATGCATATGATCCACAGCCAAAAAAAAAAAAAAAAAAAAAAAGTAAGTAAATATATGACAAAGTACTGAAAAGGCTCTGCTGAGATATACACGAGGCAGTGTTTAAAATATACTTGCAAAGCCACATTAGCAAAAATAGCAACAAACATGTACAAGTGCTGTTTTGCTGTGTTTCCAGGAAACATTGTTCGAAGCTGCAGTTCAAGAGTCCACTCATCTGTTTGGGTTCTTTTGGAGTGTTAGTGCCAATGCGGGCCAACATTATTCAGCAAAATTTACCACAAAACAGCATCAATGTTTTATTTTTGCTTGTGACATACAAAAGAAGCACACAGACATCAATAGAAAAATATGTCAGAAAATATTTAATGAAGGATGAGAAACTGAAAATATGGGAAAGAAATGTGTGTATGGGACTGACATTTACAAGATGCATGGGAGTTTCCAAGCTTTAGGCATAGAAAGGCCCCAAGGTCTTAACCTTTCAAACAGGCTTATTCATGTCAGGAATCTAAGTAAGAGAGAGAGAAAAAAAAATTCCTTTAAAAAAGAAAAAAGTCATGCCTCATTCGCCTCTACAGCGCTGACATTTATTCAAGGACTTGACTTTTGCAGAGTCCTTCACCCTGGCAGCTGCACCCAGGCGGGCACCGGGGCTCTGCTCATGACTGGGGCCTATATTAGCAAATGAGCAATTTTCCTGGTGACAAAGGGGCTATCTTATTCCAAAATAATAAAAGCATTTTATTTCTGTTGTGTGCTTTGAAGTCGTACAACATGTACAGGCATCTGTGACAAGCAGTGTCTACATGAAACGGCTGCAGAGACTCACACAAACCCTACAGTAGCAACAAAACTGCCCAAATTAACAACACATCACTTGTCTAAACCACATCTCCTGGATCACAAGGCTCATGCTGCCTGCAGATGATGCCACCTACTTCTCTCAAATCGTTATCCAGCCCGATGTGCTCCGAGTGCTGCCGCAGGCGGTCCTTCCTCCGCTGTGTGGTCGTGCTGCGACTGGCCCAGCGGCTGGAGGGTCAGAGAGAGGAAAGACACACGTGAGTGGAAATATCAGGGGAGAAAGCCTGAGTCAGGAGTCAGAGGACATCTGAGAGGTCTGCAGCAGGAAAAGCCAAAGCACAAAGTTGGATGTTGCAGTAGATGCAGGTGCAAGCTCGTGCCTGACTTCCCCATGGGAAACCACCTGGCAGGTGCCAGGCCAGCATGCACCCAAGGGATGAAAGCCCTGATGGAAACATGCCCACTGCCTGACAGGGTCTCCAGTGAGAGTTACCCAAAATGCAGGTCACCACCTGATAAATCATTGTACTTAGCTGTTTAGTAAACACCTTGTTACTTAGCAAACACTGTTGTTTGCTGCATTTGCTGAAGTTTGGTAAAAATGGTGTCTGTAGGCACAAACAAAATACAATGATGTATTTTAAGTATCAGCTTCTAAAGTTTTGCTCTTTCGTGAGAGTTAATACTTCTCCTTTCTCAACTTTCTGTGGTACTTCCAGGAATTATTTCAGAGAAGCCCATCATTGCGATACTGTGATATTGGGTGCACCTGTGTTTAAAGGTTATAAACAAAAATGACTTCCCGGGATTAATCATGTTGCTATCTTCACCATTTTTTTTTTTTTTTTTTTTTTGCATCAGGTTTCTAAATACCACAGAAAGCCTGTATTTTTTGCTACATGTTCGTATATGCCCAGTTGAATTTCTTCCTCATTTGAAGCTGTTGCCTGAAAGCAGCCACTTGGTAACCAGGTTTGAAACCGAGCAACCTTAGAGCTCCCAAGAGTCCAAACTACCTTAAGCCAGATACTATAACAAAACACAAAAAAAAAGATAACTTAGTCCCAAGGAATTTCTAGTCTCATTTGAGCATTTCTAATAATACCATAGCCTTCTGTCAAATCCTTGAAAACAAAAATGCTCAAATGGTGCAGAGAATAAACAAGTTACATTATTTATGAAAGAAAGCTGAAATAACACTGTATAAAGCAACCTATCAAGCATTAAAAATAAGTATCTTAACACCCAAGAAGGCTACATCTTCAGAATGATATTACTTAATTACTGTGGTTGTATTTATTAAAATTACAAATATCTTTCAAATATAGTGTTAAAAAAAAAAAAAAAACCAACCTGTTAAGTGTATAGCTTTTTAGTAGCTTCATGAAGCCTTCTGTTCTGCCTCCCTCCTGCACTCGGAACTTAAAGAGCAAAACTATGGTGATGCATAACACAAAGCTTGCCCAGGGCAGTGCTGCAGCTCCAGTGCCTGGCAGGATGTATGAATAAGGCTCTAACTATGGGATGAAACAGCCTGGCAGAATTTGAAGGGCTAACCTAAATCTGGAAGAAAAAACCCATCACGAAAACAACACTCCATGCTCCCCACCCTCAGTGCTTGAGTCAAAGGGACCCTCCAAAACCTGTCTCCATCCTGGCCTCTCTACTCCAGACTGAAGTGTCCATGCCGGACACCATGCCAGAGATGGCTTTTTCTACAGGAGCTGTGATCGGCAGGCAGAGCCCTTGGGGATTTGGGTTCTCTGCCTTTGACAGATCTATACAGAGGGAAACCTAGAGATGCTCACATCAAAGACAGAAGTGTGTGCTCGGTGAGCCCCCCCACACAGGTGGTGCTGGCGAGAACAGCAGTCCCCAGATCCCAAACCCATCTGTTTCTGTGCATACCTTAAACAGGAGCATATTCAAATAGGAGCTGGGATCTGAACTATTGGGGCAAGGAGTTTCAGCTGGCGACACTTAGGCAATTGCATGCCAAGGCAGGGAGGGCAACCTGACCCCAGAGAAGTGCAGGGATGTGACCCCTGGTAACCAAAACCTCCTGTTTCCAGAGAGAAAGACTTTGCATACATGTACCTAACTATTTCCACCAATTCCTCCAGTAAGGCAACTGAAGACCAAATTTTGTCTAACTGTACAGGTAAAAGGTCACAGGAAAAACTGTTTTTATGGCAAAACTGAAGTCCATTCTGACAGGGTCACGGGCAAGAAACCGACACGACTTAGGAAGAACAAAAAAAGCCATCTGAATTTATTAACTATTTACAACAAGAAGCAAGATACTGAGAGAGAGAAACTACATCTTAGATCTTAGAAAGGCACTTCTCCCCCACCCCTCCCTTCATCCCAAGGCCCAAAGGCTTTGTCCTGTACCTTCTCCCGCCCGCCAGCGCAGGGGGGCAGGGAATGGGGGGTGCAGTCAGTCCGCTGCTCCTTCCTCCTCAGGGGAGGGCTCCTCACAGTCTTTCCCGGCTCCAGCATGGGGTCCCTTCTCACGGGAGAGTCCTTCTCAAACTGCTCCAGCGTGAGTCCTTTTCCACACGGGGCCACAGTCCCCTGACGGCTGTCTGGCTCCGGCATGGGCTTCTCCGTAATTCCTACGTGGGGTCCTCCACGGCTGCATCTTCTCATGGGCTGCACCAAGGGACAAACCGTGTGTCACCATGAATCTCCACCACGCTGCAACGGAAATTCTGAGGGTGCTCCTTTTCCTATTGCTCCTGTTCTCTGACTGAGTGTCTGTGTAACCGTCTTTCTCAAATCCTGCTTCTCTCTCCACTGCAGGTCTTCATCGGCTCCAGGGAAAACACACTCTCAGGCGAGCCGTGGCGGAGGCTTG